TTTCATTTTCCTAGTGCATAATGTTTCTCAGGGGTCATTTCGTAGAAAAAGAGCTAGGGGAACTCATTAGCATAACTCATTAGCATATGCCACACCCCCTGGCATCAGGGGCCCGGCGGTGGACCTGCAAGGCCTGCGGGAGTTCGAGGAAGCCCCGCCAAGGCCCTCCCTGGCCCCAGGCAGGCAGGGGTGGGGAGAGGCGGGGAGGAAGCAACATACCCTCCCTCTTCTCCTGCCTCCTCCTGGCTGAATGAGGGCCGGAAGCGGGGCGGCCAGAAGCAGGGGCGGGGCTTCGTCATGTGCCCCGCCCCGTACCTCCCCCGGGGGAACTGCGATCCCCCGCAAACCCCCCCCCCGAAATGACATCTGGTTATTTAGTCTGTTATTTACTTATCGGTAGGGTTGTAGTTTAAAAGTAAGCCAGCACTTCTGCTGTTTTCATACGCTATCCAAGTAAAAAATCTGAAGATGTTACCAAGTCATGTATACCCCCTTGTGAAAGCAAATCAAAACTTTGTCCCACCGTGGGCTTTTCTGCATGGGTTTTGCCATCAGTTTTGGCTCTATACTGCTTCAGTTTATCCTGATTTTTTGCATGGATTTTTGTGCCTTTAGTTTTCACTTCATTCCCCCGCCCCCGGGAGGGGGGGTGTCTGACTCTTTTGAAACCACTTTTACCCTAATGTTTTTCTGGAAGTCAGTTTTGAGTTGGCATTTTCCTAGTGCATAATGTTTCTATTGGTTTTCTTTGTCCCACCCACTTGCAGCCCACTTTTCGATTATTGAGCTCTCATCATCATTCCTCCTCCAATTAAAAAAAGAGTACGTCTCTATTCTCATCCCTCAGAGAGATTTAAGGAAAAGGCATATCTCCGCGAGGGCAGAAAACTTACTTTTAAAAAAATGAAAGCTGGGAATTTAGAGAACTTTTAAAATTACAGTATATATTGATATTTTAGGGCCATTTTTTAAAAAATGAGGGGGTGCTCTAACACCACTGATCGGGACAGCCCCCTTGCTTGAAAATCCTTATTATTTAAGCCAAGTGCAGAAGGAAATACTGACTCCACAATGGTAAAATGCACAGGGGGGCAGACATGCAGAAGAATCCTGCACAAATCGATTTCAGTGCTTGTGGATCAACTCCCAAGAAAATGAGAAGTTACTCGAGAATGCAGAAAAGGCCCGTTATTCTCACAGAACATTCCTTTTTTCGAAACAGAAAAATGATAGCGGAGCTCGGCGTGGGGGAAAGAGCATGTTACAAGGAAAGTCAAGAGACACCATGTCAGAGGTCCTTGATCTTTCGCAAATAGTTGATTTGCTGAGATATCCCTCTGATGGCCCTAACAACTGAGACTCAGTAAGATCAATCTTATCTCCATATTGGGTTATTGTTGTATCCCTGCTGTGCGTATTTCCATTTCTGCATGTGTTCAACAAACACTGTGTGCACATTGCATTTTGGCAAGACAAATACTGTTATAATGTGAGTTTGAAAAGGGAAGGTTAGGATCTTTATTACTAACTGTTTTGTTTCTGCAGAGAAAATGTTGCCAGGAGCTATCTTGGGTCTTTTCTTGGCTATCCCGAGTCTCCCAAGAACCACTGGTAAGAAACAATTTGAGCAGACTAGATGTGGGAGTGGTACAGAAATGTGCCATTTGGGGTTGCATTGACAAAGCACTATGTTCAAGATATAGAGCACTGGTTCCCAAAGTGGGTAATACCACCCCCTGGGGGGCTCTGGAACGATCCAGGTGGGCAGTAGGAGCCTTGGGTGCAATTGGGGGGTGTTGAATAAAAATAAGGGGGCAGTGGAAGCATAAAGAAAGAAGAGTCCAGAAGCTCTCTAAAGCAGCCTTTTCCTGCCTTCTCCCGGTCTTCCTGGGATCAGGGGGGGAGGGGGGTCCCCACAGCCAATCACAGCCATACATTTGCAAATTGCAAATCCATGTGCACCCTTGTAAGACTAGTGTTGCTGCTGGGCTATTGTATGGTGGTTGCTGCTGGCCTCTAGCTTCAGGCCAACAACATCTTTCCTTACTTACAACAACATCTTTCTTTACTATGTGCAAATTTGTCACTGCATCTCTTTGTCCACTTCTTGAAGGTAGATTTCCAGAGGGGCGCTGGGTAATTTTTTTTCTGAAAAGGGGGCGGTAGGCCAAATAAGTTTGGGAACCTCTGAAGAGTATAACGACACTGTTACATTACAAAGCATTTGTTAATTCACAGCCGGAGTAAGGGGTCTAGTTTTATGGGGAGGGGAGAACCATGTATGTTGTGCTGAGCTCCTTCAAAGAAGGGCAGGCAGGCAATTCCAGTCATCATAGATTAAAAAGTACACAGGCCAACAAGAAACGATAAGGAGGAGAACAAGACAAAGTGATAGAAAAGGCTTGCATGACACACGAATAGGAAAATCTAGCAAGTCTAAAACAAGGAGGCATGATCACAGAGGAAAAACTGACGTTTTGATCTGAAATGTTCAAAACCAGAAAGAAAAACCAACCAAAATTTTATTAGGACCAACTGAAATGACACAAAACAGTGTGCAAGCTTTTGGATACTCTAGAAGTCTTCATCAGGCAGGGGGAGGCAGATTTCTTGGGTCGTGACCTTAAGACCTTTTCTTGTCAGCATCTTGGATCCATGTAACTGCCTACAATGTCTTTGATCTGAAATGTATTTACTAGGCAGTAAGTCCATTGATACAATGTATGGTTATATTATTATCATTGTACCTAATGTAGCATCATCTGTGTACACGGTCCTTTAAAAGGACAACGTACACATTAGCCTTACATAGAACTTGCATACTGTTTTCCGTACTCTTTTCTCTTTACTATTCAAAGGCGGCAAGGTGTCATTTAGTAAGGTACAGCAAATTGGAAGAGGGTTGTTCCCAGGAATAGGTGAACACCAATATTTCTCATGAAAGAAGAAGAAAGGAATCAATTCTCCTTTTAGCAAGGTCCTACTAAACATGTTAATGATGTTTTGATGACCAGGTTCTATTAGCTCATATAAGATCCAACAGTAATAGCTGGCAGAGCCAAAGAAATTTGCTGATGCCTCCATGGGGAACTGTGGTAAACCCTCTGTTATTCTTGATTATTCTATTCTTTGAAGTTATATTTCACCTTTAATGAAGGACTCCAAGCAGTATGTAGATTAATAACAGCAGGAAATGAGGAGAGGATGAAGACCCAGGTGCAGGCAGGCACCTATAGACAGCAATACTAAGTGTCCTTACTAGGAAGTAAGCCCCACTGAGTTCCATGGGGCTTATCTCCTGGAGACTTAGACTTGCAGTATTCGAGAGAAGCCCTAAGCAGAATCCAACTCAAGACTACCCAATAGGGCTTACTTCCAGGAAAGTGTTCTTAGGGTTGCAGTGTTAGAGCTTGCCAGGAAGGATGTGGCAAAGGCCTGCTCAACTCAGCAGAAGGGAATAGCTCACTGCAATGGCTTCAACTAATTATGAATTATGTTTGGCATCTCCATCCCCTAGCTGGGGGCAAGCTAGATGTCCTGGGATGTGCATAAGAAGTTCAGCATAGCCAAGAGAAAGTTCCAAATTGCCTTTCATCTATATGTCTGATTTACATTTTTATCCTGCCTTTCCTCTAGGGAGCAAAAGGGGAATACATTGAATTCTCAGATGGTCTCCCACTGACTAGAAGCTGGCTTCATCAAAGCTGCTGTATCAAGTACTTGCAGGGCCCACACCATATGGCACCTTCCTTGTTAGCCCCTTCTTGCTGTGGAAGAGCAGAGTCTGCCTCCCTGCACACTTTTAAGCTCAAACACTGTGAAAAATCTGGACTGTGTCATAGTTTAGTTGGGTTAGGTGGGCAACTGGGGAACAAAGGGTGAAACACCTGTGAAACAGCTCTTCTCCTTTCTATCCTCTGTAGGTATGCTGTCCTGCATTTGTGAGGAGCATCAGTGTGCTAACAAAACTTGCTCAGGAAAGGCATGTTTTGCAAGCAAACATCTGGAGCAAGGGACCATCATCACCAGGAAAGGCTGCATAGACCCCAATTCTCTGAATTGTAGAGGCGACATCACAGAGAACTTTGGCACAAAATGCTGCTCGTCTGAACTGTGTAATATGAATCTTGATTTACAGCTAGCAGGTACAGTTGCACCTTCTGATGCAAGGGTCATGGCAAGAAAGGAGAAGGGAGATGATGTTTCCTGTGGTTTCTTGCACACGAAAGATCCCTAAACAAGAATTAGACATCGCAGTGTGTTTACCTCTTTCTCACCTGCTTGGACTTGGGCAAGCTGGGAAGCCACAGCAGTCTAAAAAATAATAATAATAGTGAACTGTGATTGTTTGGGAACTCCCAGCCTTTCTTTAGCCTACAGATGAGACTACCTTAAGCTTTGGCACTTTTATGGACAATCAAGTATGTAAAGTTTCTGACAGTATAGATCCATACCCTGTTTGGGGAGCCAACTGGGTTGTTCAGAACATCATCAATATATAAACCAATAAGCCATTTTGAAACATGCTGAATAGAATTAGTTTCAGTTGTTTATAGAAATGTTATACATTAAAATGTTCAGTTATAATGTAGTAGGACCCAAGTACCATAGACAATGGTACACTGAAACATATCACTTACACCACTGTCAGCGTTATTTTTTCACAAGTTCTTCCATTGTTTTGTTGTCAGTGTTGCAAAAAGAGGCAGTCTCCTGTTACTGAACATGTCACCTCAAATAGGAAACAGGTCTTAAGAAAATTAGAAAAGTCCCACTGGATCAGACCAAAGGTCCATCTAATCCAGTTTCTGTTTCTCATGGTAGCCAACCAAATGTTCGTAGGAGGATCCAAAGAATCACAATATTGTTGCCCCACCCCCAGCAAATGATACTTGATAACATGCTGCCTCTGCGTATGGAGAGGGCACTTAGTTATTATTGCTGCTAGCCAGTAATGGACCTATATGCCATTAATTTGTATTATTATTATTATTATTATTATTATTATTATTATTATTATTATTTATTATTATTATTATTATTATTATTATTATTATTATTATTATTATTATTATTATTATATTCTATTTATATACCGCTCCTAACCCCGAAGGGTCTCTGAGCGGTTTACACAGGGGTTCCAAATTCAGTTTTAACCTACCTAAGGCCACATAGTACATAGGGGGCGGGGGTTCCTACCAGCATCTTTGCTTTCTAATTTTGTGGCCCTCATTAAATCTTATGGCACTGAATTCCATAAACTATTTATACCCCGTTTATGCCCCATTCAGTCCTAAATGTAAGTATCTTTTGCTCGGAAATATTTTTGATTGTTCAGAGCATATGCCCAAAAAGTTACCTTTATGTGCAGTGATGTACAGTATTATTGGGTCCAACAGTGTGGTTAAGTAAAAGTATTTGTCTCATACCAATGAGAATTGAGTTCAGATTAGCTACTGGCATGGAGGTGCTTCACGTGATCCTATAAAGAGTGCAGGCAGCCATTTTCCTTTACCCTGTCCTCATGGCAGCCATTTCCTCTCCCTAACACTGGGGAATTTTTTTGTTTCTGTTTTTTAAATCAGGAGTTACCTATCATTGTGTTGATATCGTGTTATAACAATAAATGTATCAGGTTCTCTGCATTCTCAGCTTTAATTTTTAAAAAAGTATGTCTCTGTCCCTGTCCCCTCCTGTTGCAGAGATATGAAAGAAAGGGAGACTCACTTTTTAAAAAAGAAAGGTGGGAATTCACAGAACCTGTTACATGTATTGTTATAATGGTATATTGATATAATGATATGCAATTGCTAATTTTTTAAACAATTGAAAAGCCCCAGTAGCCCAGCAGGGAGGATAGCTGCTATTGAGAAACTGGGGCCGGGACACTGAAACCTGCAATGGGGAAGCCCCCTTGCCACCGCACTATATCAGCAACTGCACCAGCAGTAGGGAAACCACACAAGCCTATTCCCACATGGTAACCACCTGTGAAAACCATGTACACAAAGTGTGGACAGCAGCAAGACACCAGGCAACCTTCATAAGATAATCATAACATTTAGGGTAACATAGTCTTGGTTTTGATTTGTGGATTGTGGCTTCACCCACTTCATTTACATTTTTATCCCTGGTGATAGCACAAAAGCCCCACATAAGGTTGGGGGACAAAACCATAGGTAAGTGAAAGCAACTCTCATGTTGCTCAGCTGAAGTGCCCGTAACATAGCTGTATGGGGGGGGGGGGGAACAGAGCAACATCTCCTCACACTTGCCCTACCTTCCAGCTCCATCTTGGGGGGGGAAGAAAGGCCTGTCCCACTCCCAGCACAGATGCAAGTTACCTTCAACCAGGAAGTGTGAATTGGCTGTCAGGGATCTCTTTCAAGTGAACAAAATCTTTAAAATGAAATACTGAGCGCACAGTGCTGATGAAGAACCTACTGGGAATGAGTAAAGACAACATACCTGTATATCATGTATCAGCCATCTTAAGGTTGCCATCTTATATCAGCCATCTTAAGGTTGCCAGGTCCCTCCTGGCAACCAGCAGGGGAGGGGGGACTTACTGGGAGCATCAGGGAGGCTCATCCAATGTAGTGACATGTCTGTGTCACTGCCCACATGACCTGGAAGTGATGTCATCATGTCCAGGATGTCAGGGTGATGCTCTGGTATTTGGGCAAAAACTATGGTAAATTTGGCTTCTACCACAGAGTTTTTGCCCAATTACCAGAGTGTCTCCCCAACGCCCCCGGATGTGATGATGCCACTTCCTGGTCACGTGGGCAGTGACATAGGCATACCACTGCACCTTGGATGGATCTCCCACTTTTTTAGGGTAAGCTCCCCCCCTGCCCACCAACTGATCAGCAGCAGGGAGCTTGGGCCTGTCAGCGGAGGACCCCTGCCTCCATTGGGGGAGGGAGTGTCTGGCAAACCTAAGCCATCCGTCTTGAGCTTATAGATGAAAGGACTTAAATAAATTAACACAGGCAGGAGATGTAGCACAGTGCCTGTGGGAGTACGTTGTCCCTCGAAAACAGCACTAACCAAGTGACTTTATTCTGTTTTCCTCTAATCAGAGGAAGGACAGCCAGAAGAGACCCAATCCCATCAGAAACTTCTTCTGCTGATCCTGGTTCCACTGTTTGGCACTTTGATCCTTGCTTTATTGGTTGGGCTCTTTGTATGGAAAGTGGTCCAGAGCCGCCGAAGACAAATGCTTCTAAAGTCAGATGAATGGAGGGACATGGAGGACTCCATATTAAAGGCATCTGTGACTGGCGACAGTACCTTGGAAGTAAGCAGGTGTCAAAAATACCTTTTCAGCCCTGGAATGGAAGTTCACCTGAGGCCACTTTTTTGTTTGTTTGTTTGTTTGTTTGGGAGGGAGGGAGGGAGGGAGGTCCTAGAAGGCTGGTCAACAACTCCAAGTTATAGGGTGACTCCAAGTTATAGGATTCCCACAAGGGAACAATATTCCACTTCTTGCTGCTCCCACTTGGGAGCATGCTTATGCAAAGGGAATAAGCTTTTTGTAAAGGAAAAGGAAGGGAGCCACCTAGACAAGTGGAATGGATGCTACAGCAAGCTGGAAGAAATACTGTGAGCTTCACTGGGGAGATGGAAATGCAGCCTCCACACGACTGAAAGTACCTTTTGGGTTCTGGTTAACAACATGATTTTCAGACAGTAAAGGGGAAGACGGCAGGTATAGAACCCATGTTTCCGGTTCCACAAAGCAATACTCTAACTGCACTAGCCCACAAACAAGGAAACCATAATGGGACCTTCGTACTCTCATAGGCTGGACCCAAATATTATTTGGTTGCAGAGCTAATCTGTATCCTATGCTTAGTGGAAGCTCTGTGACTGAAGAGTAGAAACAGTTCTGTTTGTCACTCTGTTGACTTCAGTGGGCATGTGTTTCCTTAAGGCATCTCTTTGCTGTTGTAATGTTATGCCAGCATAGAGACCAGACTTTGAGATGAGGAAACATGGGATCAGGACTATGCCTAAAGCTCCTCGGCTTTCCCCCCACCATGACCTAATCTCTCTCGTGTTTCTTCCCCCTTGCACCAGAATATGTACAACAGCAAATAAATTACATTGGCTTAAAGTTCCTCCATCTTAATTTGGAGTTTTGATGGTGTCATGGATTTATCACCTCTTCTACCCTCATCCAGCTAGGATAGGATTGCAGTCCTAGCAGGTGTGTGGCCATCTTCCAATATCTCTTACCTTGCTTTTCGTTCTCCAGCGTTTTACCACTTATTTGATATTGTCTCCAGGGCTGGATGAATGATGACTGCACCACTGGTAGTGGCTCTGGACTTCCCTTCCTTGTGCAAAGAACTGTTGCTCGGCAGATTACCTTGGTTGAGTGTGTAGGTAAGGCAAAATCCAATGTGTATATCAGACTGGGGAAGATTTGTCTAACGTCTGACGAATGAGAATGTAAGGCAGGGTTAGATAGATTCTTTTTTTTTTTTTAAGTACCCATAGGTACACTTTTATTAATTTTTCTTTTATAATCTACAACAAACTAATCTACACACTACAAACAGACACTCTACTACACATAACATGTATGCCAAGAGTACAGTTACATTATATGCTTATAACCAATTACTTAATTAATAGAAACGCTCTATCTCTTTCCATTCTTCTGTCTTCTGTGTTCTCAAGTCCATTGTGCCATAATTGCCTAATCTTCTATTGTACTTACATTATACCAATCATAAAACTTTTTCCATGTTTTTTGAAATGTCCACTCTTTGCTTAATCTCATTTCTAAAGTTAGTTTATCATTTTCTGCTGTTTCAAAGAGTTTATTCACAAATTCCTGTTTTGTTGGTATCACCATAGTTTTCCAATATTTGGCATATAAAATTCTTGCAGCTGTCGTCATATAAACAGTCAAATACCTATTCTCTTTTTCATAATCTTTTGGGTTAGATAGATTCATAGGGGACAGGTCTATCAGTGGCTATTTTCCATGGTGACTAAAGGGAACCTTCACATTCAGAGGCAGCAAATCTCTCCATTCCAAGGCAGCAACGGTTCTTTCCTTGGCTGGCACCCTCCCCTCCCTTCCCCTTTTCTGAATTGTTGCTATGAGTTCCCTCTCCTCTTGCCCAGAAACTGGCCCGGTTTCCAGAGCTGGGGTAGAAAATTTCCAGAATGCCATCATCATGGACTTTTTATTCAGGTCTTTAGGGCTGTGGTGGCTCAAGTGGTTAAGATGCTGAACTCCAGACTGGAAAGTCGGTAGTTCAGCAGTTCGAGACCCGGGTGCCGCATGACGGAGTGAGCTCCCGTCTCTGGCCCCAGCTCCTGCCAACCTAGCAGTTCGAAAGCAAGAAATTGCAAGTTGATAAATAGGTACCACTTCAGTGGGAAGGTAACAGCGTTCCATGCGCCTTGGCGTCTAGTCATGCCGGCCACATGACCACAGAGACATCTTCAGACAGCGCTGGCTCTTCGGCTTGGAAATGGAGATGAGCACCGCATCCTTAGAGTCAGATTCGACTGGCTTTCGAGCAAGGGAAAGCTTTACCTTTACCCTTAGTTTTATTAAATTGTCTGTAGAATTTTATTGTTTTAAATGTTTTTATGGCTTTACATCGCCCATGTACATTGCCCAGAGCCCGGCATAAACTGGGATAGGGTGATATAATCATCATCACCATCATAATCCAGAGAGAAATAAGAGAAATAATAAGAGAAAGATGTATCTATGGGCATGAAGGCTAGAAAGATTCTCAGGACCTCCTCAGGACCTTATTTGGCTATTCCCATTAAAGTTCACAGCAGGATAATGATGAACAGTGCCTTTCTAAGACCATTCATTTACTTCAAATGGAATTAGAAGAGTGTATCTCTGCTTAGGATGGCACTGCTAGTATCTAAACTGAACTATAGATTCATCTCCCAGCTCTACAAATGAGTAGAGATATTATTGAAGAGTATCAGTTGCATGAGGGCCAAAATGCATATAACATTGGTGATGGGAACTGGGTCTCTTAATATGTGATTTTGCCTCAAAACATAGCTGTGGAGGAGGGGGACAGGGCTGTGGTGTTGGAGAAGTGTGCTTAATCCCACATGCCATTTCCCTGATCAGCCCTTTCCTTCTGAGTTACTTTTAGACCCTTAGGGTTTAAACAAGAAAAGGACAGATAAGAGTATTATGCCTATATGAGCTCAAAGCAGATGGGGGGGCAGATTTAATTGTCTTTATACGTAATTCTGCAGTAATGATTTCTCCTCCCATAATTTCAGGTCAATCCGTAATATCTCTTGCTTCCAATCTAGAGCCAGATAAAGGAAGTTTACCTGACTGAAACTTTTGGTGGCCTTTTCATTTCTTCATCCCATGGGTGATTCCTACTGATGGCAAGGGCACTGTCTGAATTGTTTGTCACAAGTAATGACTGCCAGTTTTGCATATTTGCACAAGTTAGGTCGGAAGGCCTACACAAAGTGCTGTTACATCACACTTCCGCTTGCAAGGGGGCAAAGATGCCTTGCTTTCTGCCATTTTGAGAGCTGGGCAGTTTCAACAGAGAGGAAATCCAGGCTGGCCTCTCCTTCATCCACTCAGGCAAGAGTGGACCATTCATCCATTATGCCACAGCCCATGCCTGTGGTATAACTGGAGTGTATATTGACATGTTTTAAGTGTACAATTGCATAACACACAAATAACAGGAGGAGAATAGCTTTTCAGTGGAAAGACAGGATGTAAATAAATATTGTGTAAGTTAGCAAAATGCAGTGTGTCAACTGTCCCCAAACAGGCAAAGGGCGCTATGGGGAGGTGTGGCGTGGTTCTTGGCATGGAGAGAATGTGGCTGTCAAGATCTTCTCTTCCCGGGATGAACAGTCATGGTTCCGTGAGACAGAGATCTACAACACAGTGCTGCTGAGGCATGACAACATCCTAGGTGAGCAGAAATGACACTGTCCCTCCAGAAACATCGGCACAGAGATATCAGTGCCCTGACTGTCCCTGGATAGGACCACTGTTTCTCACACACATATGTCACACATGCATCCATATACTTCACACCTGTCTTAATATTCCCAACTAGAAGCCAGAGGATAGTACCAGTCAGCAATGACAACAAGAAGAGAACATCAACTGTCCTATATGTCCCACTACCCCTAGAGTAGTGGGGGGGGGGGGGAAGGGACCTGCTACTTATCTTTTCCACACCAAGCAGCACTCTCTGTAACTAGGAGCGAGACCAGTGCTTGTGACACACAGCTCTCATCATACCTTCGGTGCCATGGATTTCCGGGGGTTCTGTGCCAGGGGAATTGCCTGGTCCAAGGAACCAGTCAAGGGATCACAATAGGAGTAGGAGGAGAAGGGAAAAGACAGAGGGGGCCTCTGATGGAAGTGAGATAGCAGCAAATTACAGCCTAAAGCCAGGCTTCTCTGAAAGACCTGGCACAACCCCTAGGGTTGTTTGCAGAAAAATCTTTATTTTAAAGGAGGGGATGAAATAAAGCAAAAAGATTCTAAAATGCTGAACTCTCATGAGGTTACTTCACAAGATCTCAGCAGCCTTGTTGTCTGCAGGTGTCAAAAATGGCTGATGCAGTCACATTTTGAAACTTGAGTTGGGGGGGACAAAAGATTGGGCGGGCGGGCAGAACAAGAAGAGAGATGGAGGGAGGAAGGGAAGAAAACTGGAGCAAAAAGGGGAAAGACAGGCTAGAGCGAGGGAAGGAAACAGGGAAAGGAGATAAGCCAGAGGGGCTGCTTAGGGGAGGGAAGGAAGGTAAGTGGAGATAGCAAGGGGAGGAGGGTCAATGGGAGTCATCAGATCACTCCTCCCATGAGTCTATGTGTGGGTCCTCTGCTTGTATAAATCTAATAGCAGACCGGTAAAGTTCAGTTAATACATTATCAATGGAATTAAAACCATGCTATCCAGTTAAAAAACAAAATAAAAACCAAAGTCAACTGCTTCTGAAGAGCACTGCCTCACACTGCCTCCTGGACTGCAAAGGGGGAGGCAGCCCTCACATCACTTTGCAACCCATTCTGCAAGGATGCAGCTACCACTGAGAGCATTTTGGCCCAAGTAGTCACTGACCTTACCACGCTTAGGGAGGGAATAGAACACAGGCTTTGATGAGTCTTTCTGAGCTCATATGGAGACAGGAAGACCTTCAGGTTTGTAGGTCCCAAGCCTTTAAATACTGGACCCAGCAACAAACTGGTAACCAGAGCAGTTGATTTAATACTGCTGTATAAGCTGAGGCAGGCACCATCTTAGAAAATAAATCCCTTGCTGTATGACAGAGGAGGAGAGTGCCTCTTCCAGGATAACGCCTGCCAACTGCAGGTTTTTGTAAGTATTTTTGGATGAGTTTATGTGTTCATTGATTTTTTTTAATTTGCTGTGCAATTAATCAGGGTCAATCAAAGGGTTTTTTTAATAAATATCTTGATCTAACTCACTAGTTGTTGCAACCCTGGCAAAGGCATGTAAACATTGATGAAGGAAGCCACAGGATGGAAGGGGACTGTCAGGCTCAGGAGCTTTCAAATCTCCGGGGAGGAGGGAGTGGCAGCTTTTAAAGTTAGTAAAAGGTCAGCAAGGCCCAATGGAGAACCGTGTTGAGCCTTCCCCAGCCGATCCTCCTCGCCTTCTTTTTATGATAATTTGAAAGAGAAAGGAATAGAAAGGAGAAAGGATGTCCACACTGGGGAAAGGCTATAGCATGGCATGTACATATGTAAGACATTAGGGGCTGGGAAGACCCTCTGTCTGAGACCCTGCAGAGCTATTTCCAGTTAGGACTCCCAGTACTGGTCCAAGTCTTTCTATCAAAGAAAAATGGTGGCAGGGGAGAGCAGTATTATTGTGGACAGAGGCGTTTCTGTAATTTTCAGCATAGGCAACCATTTCCGAAATTATAGCCATGTGCATAGCCTATTCATGAGCTCTGCCCTCCTTCGCTACCCATAGGGTTCATTGCCTCTGACATGACTTCAAGGAACTCGAGCACACAGCTGTGGCTGATCACCCATTACCACGAGCACGGCTCCCTCTATGACTACCTGCAGTGCACGACACTGGATGTGGAGACCTGTCTGCGCCTGGCCTCCTCCATCATCTGTGGGCTTGTTCATCTGCACGTGGAGATCTTTGGCACACAGGGCAAGCCGGCCATCGCTCACCGTGACCTGAAGAGCCGAAACATCCTGGTCAAGAAAAACAGACAATGCTGCATTGCTGATCTGGGTGAGTGGGCTTGAGTCGCTGACCAAGCCCTGCTGGCAGATCAGAAGTACTCTGCAACAATGTATGAGGGTGTTTTCTAGGGGAGGGTGTCTGGGGCATTTCATACTCTTTTAGGGCCAAACTAGATGTGACCCACACCATTTAGAAATCATTTAAAATGCCACAAGGAGCAACACAGCAGTCTTGTCCCCCTCTGCGCCTTTTCAAGTGCCAAAACAGCCATGGGGAAGGTGCAACAATTTTGGCACTTGATCAGGTGTGGGGGGGGAGACAAGAGTAACAGTCCACCTCACAGTGGGCATTTTGAAGTGACTTTAAAATGACTTGTGACGGCCACAAGGATGCCATCGTGTCTAGTCAGTTCTTCAGTGCAACCGTAAGCAGAGTCATACCCTGATAAGTCCACAGCCCATCAAGCAGAACTCCACCTCTATCCATGGTCCCTTCCAGTGTTCCCTCTAAGCTGAGTTAGTGTGAGCTGGCTCACAGTTTTTTAGCCTCCAGCTCACAGATTTTTGTCTTAGCTCAGGAAGGATGGCTCCAGAGCAGATTAATCTATGCAGTAGCCAAATCACTCGCTCACAACTTTAATGCCAGTAGCTAACAAAGTAGAATTTTTGCTCACAAGACTCCACAGCTTAGAGGGAGCATTGCTGCAGACTTCAGTCAGCTAAGGCCTCCCTCTGTGAACACACAGCCACCTTGCCAGTAGAGTGTGCTGAATATCCTCCCACAGACTGAGAGGAGAGGGGGTTTCATTCACCCTTGTCCTCTACCTCCCTCCTGACCTCACACCCTTCTGCTTGAGGAGCAAGAGTCAGCACGTCCTCCCTCCTGACCTCACACCCTTCTGCTTGAGGAGCAAGAGCCAGCACGTCCTCTCAGCTGACTTCCCTTTGCCATACGAAGGGCCTGGCCCACCCTGGGCAGAGCCCTGTAATGGTAGCTCTATCCCCCAGAACTCCCATGAACTCCAAGCTGCCATGCTTCAACTTAGTTGTGACTCATCCCCTCACTTCCATCCCACCCCACTCAAGACTGCCTCTCGGCTGACTGTCAGGCAGCGGGCTGTTAAAGGACCACTCACTGTCAGCCAGTTGGCAAGAAGGTGTTACCTTAAATATGTCACCCAGGTTGCTAACTTGGCAAGTGGGTGCCAAGGAGTTGGGGATCCCTGGGGTCCCTCAGTTCTGCAGCAGGCTGCTTGGTATTTTAAGAGGCTCCTTCTCTCTGCTTTCTGTATGTAATTGACCGGCTCAACATACTAGTCCTGAGGAACTCCACATACAGCAAATTCTGTGGAAGGTCTTTTCATCCATCAGCCCCCACATTTCTAATGGCCTTTCTGGGGAACCGGATATTGGGAGTGGGTTACCAATAGCCCACATGCATTCAGAAGGATTGGATATGGATAGGGGGAAAAGAAGGACCTAAAATGCGAGTGAGGGGCTGCCACCACTTAGTGCACACTGAGTCACCCAAAGGGTCCCCAGTGAATGGTGTCTTACCCATACCTTCCCTCAATAGCACCCAAGAATCAGCTGTCTCCTGGCAGCTATGGAGAGATGGCACTGCTGCTGTTACTGCTGGCGGGTGGCCAGGTCACACCCTGGGGTCAAGGCACTGAAACAGACTCCACTTGTTCTGTAGCCAGGCATGGAGCAGTTGTCACATCTTCGGTCTGTGGGCTCCTCTCCTCCTCCTCCTGCTGTCCATCTTCCCTTGCCAGTCCCTCTGAGCAGGAGATCAATAGTGCTTTCCCAGTCCACAATGGACAGTTTGGCACTGCAATTCCATTTAAAAAAAAATTAAAAATCGCAACAACCCAGGTCATGAAAAAGATGAAAGAATGACAGGGAAAACACTGGAATGCAACTATTTGGAAACAGCAGCATCAAGCGTCTCAATAATAGCCAAGTGATGGAGGGATGGAGATGGCATTGGTTGCCCTCTTGGACAATCTCCACAGACAGCTGGATCGGTTCAGGTTGGCACTGCTGATATTACTTGATCTCACAGTGGCATTCGACACAGTTGACCACGATCTGTTGACTCACTGCCTCGCCGACACTGGAATCCATGGGGTAGCCTTGCAATGGCTTACTTCATTTCTCCATGACTGGGGACAGAGGGTGGCACTGGGAGGGACAGTGTCCCCAAGGTACCCACTAGAATGTGGGGTTCTTCAGGGGGCACTTCTCTCCCCGGTGTTGTTTAACATCTATATGCACCCCCTTGCCCAGCTAGTGCGGAGCTTTGGGCTGGGGTGTCATCAATATGCCAATGACACCCAGCTATTCCTGTTGATGGGTGGCCGGCCAGATACCATTCCCAGGCACCTAGCCAAGTGATTGGAGGCTGTGGTGAGATGGTTAAAGCAGAGTCGACTGAATCCAGGGAAGACGGAGGTTCTGTGGCTGGGTGGGGGAGAGCCACGACTGAGTCGCCAGCTCCCGAATCTTGAGGGTGTGCTTCTGTCACCGGCACAGACCATCAGGAACCTGGGCGTAACTTTGGACTCCTCCTTGTCCACAGAGGCACAGGTTGTGAAGGTTGCCAAGCTGGCGTTTTTTCAGCTACACCATGTTAGGCAGCTGGCTCTCTACCTGTCTCGCCCTGACCTAGCCATGGTAATCCATGCAACGGTCACCTTGAGGTTAGACTATTGTAATTCAGTCTACGTGGACCTGCCCTTGCACCTGACCCGGAAGCTCCAACTGATCCAAAATGCAACCACATGGGTCCTTACTGGGACCCCTCGGACAGCACACATCCAACCAATGCTGTGCGAGCTGCACTGGCTTCCAGTGGAGCACCGGATCAGGTTCAAGGTTTTGGTGCTGACCTTTAAGGCCCTTAACAGCCAGGGACCCACATACTTTCAGGATTGCCTCTCCCAGTATGCCCCTAGAAGAGCATTATGCTCAGGAAATAAGAACCTTCTGGTAGTCCCCGGCCCGAGGGAAATCCGGCTGTCCTCGACCAGGGCCGGACTTTCCAGTGGAACTCTCTGCCAGAAGACATCCGTGCCCTGCAGGAATTACTACCTTTCCACAGGGCATGCAAGGCAGAGATGTTCCATTGGGCCTTTGGTTGAGGACAGCAACAGAGCATTCTCAACCATTTCCGTATCCCTCAAAACCCCTCCCACCCGGGGAGGCTGGGGAGGTCAATTTTTTCCACCTTCTTATACTTGTACATGTGTACTTTTTTATCTATTGATGCCAATTGCCTGGTTTTAATTTAGATTTTAAATTGAGAACTTGTATATCATCTTGTTGTGAGCCGCCCTGAGCCCTACTGTAGGGAAGAGTGGCCTAACAAATCTAATTTAATAAATAATTTAATTTAATAAATGATGGCAATTCCGGAGAAAATGGCTAGTGTGAAAGCAACCTAAGGCATGCCGACACCACCAAGCCTCCAAGTTATATCACTAGCATCACAAAATGTGTGTATCCTCTTAAACACTCTGCATTCCCATGTCAGAGACAAATTAAGATCTAGAGAAATTAAGTACTTTGCCAGGGGTCACACAAGATTTGGCAGGATGCTGAATTTGGCTCTTATTGCAGAAGGATCTAAGTGATGGTCACTTTCCTAGGAAAGCATTCTTCTAAAAATTGGCATCATTTTTCTCTTTCAGGTCTGGCAGTCATGCATTCCCAGAGCAATGACTACTTGGACATTGGGAACAATCCACGGGTAGGCACCAAAAGATACATGGCACCTGAAGTTGTAGATGAACAGATCCGTATGGACTGTTTTGAATCCTTCAAGCAGACAGACATCTGGGCGTATGGCTTGGTCCTCTGGGAGATAGCCCGCAGAACAGTTGTTAACGGTAAGGGAAATGAACTGAAAAAAACACAAAATATATTTTAACTTATAGCAATTTAGGTTGAAAAGTAAATCTTCACATGGTCAGCATGTCCAGATTTTCATAGATCATAAATTCCATATTCCAAATATAATAATGTTGACTTTCCAATGATAGCATTTTCTTTTTATCAGCAATGACTATCTCTGAACAGTGAGGTTCCATTTAACTATCCTATGCAATAGCTGTTTACTAAATATTTTCCACAGCTTATTCCCTCGAGGTGAGGACATATTCATACCATCATTTTGGTGCCGGGTCGCTGTAGGAGAAAATCTTTCTATGTCACGGGCAGTCTTGGTGATTCTGGGTCCAGGAGGGCCCCATAATCACTGCCACTCCCTGAGCACCCCACCACCATTGGGATCCAAGCAAGGGGTGGTCCTCACCCACTGTGAGGTGGGCACTACTGCTGCTGCCACTCAGGTAGAGCAGGTACGGGTGGTGGTGGCCATGGGCAGTCACACCGGCAACATTGGGTTGAGGATAGCTGCCCTTGTTGCGCATTGGTTAAAACCATGTCTGGTTTGTGTTGAAGCCTAGCTTGTGGCAAGGGGGCTGTATGTATTTTTCACTGGCTGCAGGATTCAGGTTTAGGTACGATGTCATAAACACTGCAGAAGTGATGTTTGCAGTGGTGTGACAAAGCCTCCTCCGGCTCCGTACAGGTGAGTTCAGACGTCAGAACCCAGCTGGCCATGGGTTGGGAGCCAACAGAGGCCAGCTTCTGAAGTGCTTTTACTGCATCTCCCGCACTCATATGAGCAGACCAAGACAAGGAAGTGCTTGTCAAGACAGACTGAAGGGTAGCTGGCTTGCAGAACTCACCACCTCAAGACATGATGATGGCCACAGGTTTAGGTGGGATTTAAAAGGGGTCTGGACAGATTTATGAAGGATAGGTCTATCACTGGCTATTATACATGACAGTCAAACGAAGCCTCCAGTTTCAGAGGTAGAATGCCCCTGATTGTCAGGTGCTGGGGAGCAGTCAGCGGGGTACCAGCAGGCCCCACCAGTGGGCTTTTCTCTGGCATGTGACCAGCCACTGCTGGAAAGAGGATGCTGGCTTGGATGGGCCATTCGTCTGATCCAGCATGATCAGTGTGATGTAGTGGTTAGAGTACTGAAGTCAGATCTGGGAGACTCAAGTTCAGATCCCCGCTCTGCCATGAAAACGTGCCAGTCACACACTCTCCACCTGGGAGGAATTGTTAGGATAAAAGGGAAGAAAATGATGTCAGGCACTTTGAGTCCCCATCGGGGAGAAAGGGGGGGTAGAAATGAAGTAAATATATTAAAAAATGTCTTTAGGTTCTTGTGAGCTTAACCGTACAATCTTAAACAGGGTTATATATCCTTCTAATCCAATGGACTTCAGTGAACTTGGAAGGGCATAGCAGTGCTTCAGATTGCACTCTGAGCATCTTGACTGGAAGCAGGAGAATTTCAGTGAGCCCTGCAGACAGCCGCTAGTTCTCATCAAGGGAAGTCTGTGAGCGGCAAATGTGGCAGCAAAGTAAATCATCTGTTTAGGATTTACAACAGCAGCTGAAGGCCAGGACCAGACTGGGGGCCTGGCCCATCTCCATTGCAGAAATAATCACTAATCACGCCTGTTAATATGATGGTTTTCGGCTGCTCTAGTTTTGGGGTGGTGTTCGTTCTCGTTCTCTCTCTCTCTCCCTCCCTCCCTCTCCTTTTTCCACGCGAATGATTAGCTGTAAATTATAAACACTGTAATCTAGTGTCAGCGCCCGACTTGCTGATTAAAGGGGCCATTAGACTCAATCAGCACTTTGTTTGTTCAGCACTGATTAGGTAACCAGCAGCATCGGAGCTCCATCTGGCAACTGGCCACATCCATGGAATTTCCCATCTCCTCCGGCCAATGGGGGGTGGGGGGGGCAGTCAGCCACAAAGCCAGTCCTGCTCCTTTCTGAATAGAAATGCAGAGGCCTTAGTGGGGGCACCACCTGCATCAGTTTTCCCTTCTTGTGCTCTTAACACTTCCTCAGGAGAGAAGAAAATATGCAGCAATGCTTGTCTGTAGTGAAGACAGGTGGTGGGTTGGCTGCATGGCACAGTGCAGGATGAGCAGCTGAGCTCTGGAGCTGCACAGTGCAGAGAATTTGATCCTGAGTAGTAGAAATGAGAGATCACGCCAGGCCCTCCTGTCTTCTGCTGTCCTCTGAAGTTGGCTCAATTTCATGTTCGTTGCATCGATGACACTAACCATCTCATCCTTTGCTGTCCCCGAGAGACTGCTGAATTGCAATTGATAATGAAGCTCAAGACAATGCATCCACCTGGATTGAATCGAGGTTTCCTGTCTCATTACCAGTGCTGATTTCTCCACACCCTATTACCCCTCTCACCTAAATCCAATCACACCTGCTGTTGATATTCACCTGCTATTGTCATTTGCCTGCTAATGTCGTTCGGCATCTGAAATCACTCCACTTTCCAATAAGTAGGATGGATGGACTCCCATTCTAGATGTATCTGAAGAAGTGAGCAGTGACTCACAAAAGCTCCTACCCTGCCACATATTTTGCTAGTCTTTAAGGTGCTACTGGACTCTTGCTCTTTTCTGCTTCTACAGACAGACTAACACGGCTACCCATCTTGAGCCTGAGTAGTGCGGCCCTGACCTGGATAGCCCAGGCTAGCCTGATCTCATCAGATCTCACGGTTGGCCCAGGTTAGTATTCGATGGGAGACCACCAAGGAAGTCCAGTGTTTTTAAGGAGAGGCAGGCAATGGCAAACCACCTCTGAACGTCTCTTGTCTTGAAAATCGGAGGGGGTTGTTATAAGTCAGCTGTGACTTGACTGGGGGAGGGGAAGTACAGAATGCACCATCCTATGAATCTCAGTTCTCATTTTAAAAAATAACCAAGGTCCATAAAAGGATTGTATAGAGATGTGCATAATTTTAGAAGAGCTCCCAACGTGGAAGCCAACTCATCATGTTTTGGTCTGACATGGAGTCTTGATTCCCAGATCCAGCTAAAGGGGAAACCATTTATTTTTACTTTTTATTTGCATTCTTTATAATCCTCCTTTCTCACTAAGAGTGAGTCAAGGTAATCATACAGTGTAAGTCAATGCAGTCAACAAATCAGGACATCCAGTAAGCAATGTAATAGAATTAAAACTGCAAAAATCTGAAACAAAGCATTAACACAACGTGTTAAATGATGCAGAAATTACATAGCAGGCTAAGACATGCGGCAGCAGATTACAGATACTATAGAATCACAGAATTGGAAGGTATCTCCAGGGTCATCTAGTCCAACCCCCTGCACAGTGCAGGAAATTCACAACTACCTCCCCCCCCACACTGCCAGTGACCCCCTGCTCCATGCCCAGAAGATGGGCACAGTAGTACATAGTAGTGTAATCCATATTCCCTTTCCCTTCATTAAAGCATCTTTCTGAACCATTCCTATTACCTGTGTAAAAATGCCCTGAATAAATCATTTTTGCATCATTTAAGGAATGCTCGATGAGTGGGAGCCTTCTAGTCCTACTCAAGCAGGCCATTCCATAATGCGGGAGTTAGAACAGAGAATGTATATGTACGGGCAGTTCTTGATGTTGCCCATTTGCAGGGTGGTACCTGCAGAAGGCCCTGCTCAGATGAGCAAAGCTGTTGTTACAGAGCATATGAGAAGACACGATCCTGCAGATATCAGGGTCCAAGGTAATGACATACATCACATACAGCACCTTGAACTGAACCTGGTAACAGATGGGCAGCCAATTAAATGACTGGGAGTAATACACACACTCCTCCTAGTACCAGTGTTCCCTCTAAGCTGAGTCAGTGTGAGCTAGCTCACAGTTTTTTAGCCTCCGGCTCACAGATTTTTGTCTTCACTCAGGCAGGATGGCTCCAGAGCAAACGAATTTATGCAGTAGCCAAATTGCTCGCTCACAGCTTCAATGCCGGTAGCTCCCAAAGTAGAATTTTTGCTCACAAGACTCCACAGCTTAGAGGGAGCATTGCCTAGCACCCCATAATAACTGAGCTTCGGCATGCTGCACCAATCAGAATCTCCAAGTTGACTTTGAGGGGAGATCTATGTAGTGTATTCATGATCGATAGCACTGATTGACTGGGAACCTGTAGGGCCACCAGCCCAGTTTCTCCCTGAAGTAGTTTTCCACCATTTTAAAAATGGAAGACAGACAGACAAACATAATGTTAATATATATATATATATATATATTCAGCACTTCAAAAGGGTAAACAGCTTACATGAAGCATGGGGCAAGCATTGGATTTGTTAACCTGTATGACTTTTAAATGAATTGTGAAGGCTTGGGGAAGTTAGGCTTAACCCACAAGAGGATAATACATCAAGACATTACTTGTATATGTGTCTGTATGTATCCAAAGTTAAAAAGGTGGAAACATTCAAAGTAAGTTACTTTATTGGTCCAAATAAAAAACACTAGGTCTACATTGAATATTAATAGAATCATAGAGCTGGAAGGAGCCATATAGACCATCTAGTCCAACTCCCTGCCCAATGCAATTCTTATAGATTACAAGTGGGAACCCGCAAGGATTTGCGCAAGGCATCTCATGTCCCCCTCTCCCACTGTTTCCTCTTTCGCTTCCATAGTCTCTCCCCTTTTCCTGCTTCCTTCTCTCATTCTTGGAGTGAGTGGGGGCTGGTGATCTCTTGGTGTATTTTTTCTTTTTTTTGATTTCACATTATTTTGCAAACCTAGGGCCCTTTTCAGATTTATAGCAAGATCTGTCTTGCCCATTCACAGCTCCACTCACTGGATTTAAGTATCCAAAGATATCTGGACTATTAGAATATAAGATTAAGATTATATATATATATATATATATTCAGCACTTCAAAAGGGTAAACAGCTTACATGAAGCATGGGGCAAGCATTGGATTTGTTAACCTGTATGACTTTTAAATGAATTGTGAAGGC